ATATTAATGTGCCAGCTGTGGTAAAGATTCATACATCCCTTCATGCTTTGCCCACTATTCCAGAGGACGATCCAAAGCAGTGCAGACAGATGCGCGTTCATTTTCATCATCTGAGTCAGATGCCACCAGTAGAAGGTTAATTTTATTTTTTGGTGGTTTGGGTCCAGTAGTTTCCGCATCAGGGTGTTGATCTTTTAAGACTTCTGAAAGCACGCTCCTCACCTCATCTCTCTCAGATTTTGGAAGGCACTTCAGATTCTTAAACCTTGGATCGAGTGCTGTAGCTATCTGTGATAAATGAAGGGGTGGGGGGATTGCTCCCTTTTATGTACACCCAACCAGCCAGTTAACTGTAAAATCCCTCTTGGTAGCTGTTATCTGCTTGTTTTACCTGTAAAGGGTTAAAAGTCCCCCAACTAAAGAAAAGGAAGGGGGCACCTGACCAAAAGAACCAATGGGAAGGTAGAACTTTTTAAAATTGGGAAAGAAACTTTCCCTTTGTCTGTTGTTCTCTCTGGGCTGCAGGGACACAGAGCAGCAATGCTGTAAGCAGCTCTAAGCTAGGTATGATTACAGATTATCATTTCATACCTCGAACCTACTTATCTGAAGCCTCAGATATGTAAGTAAATTAGGGAATGTCTAGAAAGATGCAATGAGGATTATTTCTTTTATTTCTTATTGGCTTGTGGACTCTCTGTGCTAACCCCAGATGCTTTTGTTTGCTTGTAACCTTTAAGCTGAACCCCCAAGAAAGTTATTTTGGGTGCTTCAGTTTTGGAATTGCTCTTTTAAAATCTAGCAAAAGCCTAAGTTCCAGATGTATTTTCTTTCTTTTGGTTTTAATAATATTTACCTTTTTTAAGAACAGGATTGGATTTTTGGTGTCTTAAGAGGTTTGTGCATGTTGTTTGATTAGCTGGTGGCAACAGCTAATTTCCTTTGTTTTCTTTCTCAGCTCTTCTCTGGAGGGTGTGTGAAAGGGCTTGAGGGTACCCCACAGGAAGGAATTCCCAAGTGTTCCTTCCTGGGTTCCAAAAGGGGTTTTGCATTTGGGTGGCAGCACTGTTTACCGCCAGGTCAGAGAGAAGCTGTAACTTTGGGAGTTTAATACAAGCCTGAAGTGCAAGTATTAATTTTTAAAATCCTTGCAGCCCCCACTTTCTGCACTAGAAGTGCCAGAGTGGGGAATCAGCCTTGACACTATCTTTAGAAATTTCACATTGGTACCTTCCTTGCTTTTTCTGCAGTGAAAGAGTTTTTAAATGGAACAACATGTGCAGAGTAGTCATCCGAGACTGCCATAACATGAAATATGACAGAATGTGGGTAAAACACAGAGCAGGAGACATACAATTGTCCCCCAAGGAGTTCAGTTACAAATTTAATTTTTTTTTAACGAGCATCATCAGCATGGAAGCATGTCCTCTGGAATGGTGGCCAAAGCATGAAGGGGCATATGAATATTTAGCATACGTGGCACATAAATACCTTGCAATGCTGGCCACAACACCTTGCCATGCGAACACCTGTTCTCACTTTCAGGTGATGTTGTAAATAAGAAGCGGGCAGTATTATCTCCTGTAAATGTAAACAAAATTGTTTGTCTTAGTGATTGGCTGAACAAGAAGTAGGACTAAGTAGACTTGTAGGCTCTAAAGTTTTACATTGTTTTGTTTTTGAGTGCAGTTATATAACAAAAAAAAATCTACATTTGTAAGTTGCACTTTCATGATAAAGAGATTGCACTACAGTACTTGTATGAGGTGAATTGAAAAATACTATTTCTTTTATCATTTTTATAGTGCAAATGTTTGAAATAAAAATAATAATATAACGTGAGCACTGTACTCTGTATTCTGTGTTGTAATTGAAATCAATATATTTGAAAATGTATAAAAACATCCAAAATATTCAATACATTTCATTTGGTATTCTATTGTTTAACAATGTGATTAAAACTGTGATTAATTACGATTACTTTTTTTGAGTTATTTGTATGAGTTAACTGCGATTAATTGACAGCCCTAATTATTATTACTACTTAAGGCTTATTATTACTATTGAAAAGTTTATGAATGAAGATAATCTAAGAGAACAATGGTGTATGATAAAACCAAAGCTGGGTCTAGGGGCACCAATCCCAGAAGAAGACATTGAAGAAGCATTGAGCAACATGAAAAGGAAGAAAGCTCTTGGCCTCTATGGCATACCAGCAGAAGTACAGAAAGGAGAGATCACAAAGAAAGTTTTCCAGACTCTTTGAAAAGGTAGATTATTTATCCACTGTGTCACTGACTGCTAGTATCACTAGACAGTGATTACAGTGTCTAGTGACTACTAAAAAAAATCCAAGTTTCTCTCCTCTTTTACAACAGCGTAAATCAAGAGTAGAATCTATTAAAGTAAATACAGTTACACTTGTATTAAACTGGTGTATGTCAGAAGATAATCTGGACCTCTCTCTCCTATCTTCTAAGCCCTACAAGCCCTGAAAAGTCATGGATGCTGGTTCAGCTACAGGCCAGTTTATTCTGGGGAAAGTTTGATTAAGTCTCAGAAGCTAAAACAGCATATCAACCTCCCCTCAGGAACAACCAATAGGGAGTGGAGTGCGCTCTACAAACTCTGTGCTTCTCACATTGCTTGTGGTTCTTAGGAGCCCATGGGAATTATTCCAGCCCTAGATCTCATGTCCTTTACTGTCACAGCCAAGGGAAGCTCAGTGAAGTCAGGCCATGAGCTCTTTACAATTCTTTTCTATCTCACTGCTATTCTATTCATTTGGGAAGAACCTTCCCCTCACACTGCAAGCTCCATAAATAGGAAGAGAGCTGCTATGAGGTATTCTGTGTCAACTGAACAATCTTTCCCCAGGAAAGTGGAAACATCCTCCTCAATAGAAGACCTTCCATTGGGCAGACGCACTGGTGCTTCCATTTCTGTTGATCTGGAGCTCAGGCTGGTTTGGACCCCAAGGGGTTTCAGTTTGACCACAGAGTCAATGATAGATTAGAGAAGCCTAATAAATCTGAAGTCATTTTGCTGACAGTTAATGATGCAGAAAGAAATTGAGCTGAATTTTTGCCCAGCCTGTAATTAAACTTGTGTCAGGACTGAGGTTTATCAGGAAAAATACAACAATGCCATTACTCATACAAGGATTTGCTTTTTGGGCACAACAAGGTGCTTATCTGTGCATGAAGCCTACTTGATCATATTCTCATAATAGTTTACTTACTAGAACATACAGACCAAACAATGATATGATGTACAGCTTTAATGACACACTTTTATCTTTAGGGCGTAAACTCATAAATAAGCCTCGTTATCTAGCCAAATGGCTGCCCTGTTTAATCTTTCATCATTTATTGCTGCTACTCTAAAGCAAATTACTTTGTACTAATTAGCATAATTATCAAGTTTCTATGGCAAAAATCTTGACTTGAGAAATGTGTAATAGTAGCCTCTCTCTTTTCATTCTGTGTAAATGAATACACTTCCACCACTGCTTTGTAGACATGAAGATCACTGTAGGCAAAATTCACCCCTTCTGTACCTTCTAAATTGATTGTTTAGAGGATTTATGTAGGACTCAAGTGATGTTTAGGCCTTATGTTGGCCTTCGCAGTGGAGAGTAAGTCATCTTGTGCCATTTTTGTTGATAATAAAAATCTATGAGCATCTAAACTGGTCCCCAACAGCTTCATAAAAATTGATGTCCTTTTAGACGAAGGGCCAAAGCAAAACAAGAAGGAGCATAAGTAAAGTATCTTTGAGAACATGATAAGCCCCATTCCCCTGTTGTGTTCTAGCAAACTGCAGGCACCCAGCAACTCAGAAAAATCAGGCCACTTATACAGGTGCTTGAAGTGTGAGTATTCACCTAAGTCTGAGTATTATGGCCTGAGTCTGCTCTGTAACATGCTGCATCTTCTCTGTCTCAGAAAATGGCAGCACCCTCTGCAAAGTGCCAAGTGCTAGAAGTTGAAATGATGTAGCATAGAGAAATCGTAACATTTACTAGCTCTCTACACCCCATCCTCCATCAAAATGACTAGCTGGTAAGACATCATAGGCAGAGCTGCTGCCACCTGATTTCTTCTGGCGTTCATCTCATTTATCAGTAGTTTATTTCATCACGTTTTTGATTTCCTTTTGGTAACTTGGAAGCAAAGGCATGTCACCAGCAAGCATTCATACTATAAACATAAGTTAAATGATTTCAATATTAATGGCCCAGATTCTCAGCTGCAGCCAAGGAGCACGCACTGCACAGATGCTTTAAAATACTTCTGCAACCTCCATCCCGACTTGGGCCAGCTGTGTACCAGGTCAGCCCCCTGGCATAAATTACAGCATCCTAAGCACTGCTCCAATGACTACCAAGGGGGCTATGGAAGCTATGTGATACCAAGGCTAAGTGAAGTCCCTGCCAGGTCTCTTCTCCCCTGGCCATGCCCTTTACACTAGCCAGAGGGATGGGGCAGCATAGTAGCTATTGTGTCCTCTTTACACCATTAGAAGATTTCCCCACACTGCGGTGATTTTTGTTTTACTCTGCATGGATGACAGGCTGCAAATCATCTGGAGCGCAAAGCGCATCTGAGCCAATACAGCCTTCCTTGATTTGCATTTGTTTCCGTTTTGCTTTCTATTTTATCCAAAAAGCATGGCTACCAATTTTGTTTTAATTGTAAAGCCCAGATCCAAGAAAACCCTTTTAACAGAATCAAAGAAGTATTCATGTGGGAAAATATGGTAACTGAAAAGAAATGTAATTGGCGAAATTATCCATCAGTGCAACAGCATCCTCTCTTCAGTTTTTACAGTGTGATCATATTAGTGCATGTGAAAGCTGACTGGCTGCTCCGCTGCCTGTTTTTTGGCGATAAGTATTATCTATTATATTGCAGAGCCTGTGGTCAGAGCTTTGTATATTTTGCGGCTTTCTGAATATACTTTCTAAAGATCTTAACTTTGGCTTTTATCGTCTGCAGATAATTGTCACAGACAAACTAGCAGAAATGAAAGAACTGGAAACAACATCTGCAGCCAGGAGCACCAACAAACGAAAGCTCTGAGGTAACAATTGAATCATGCGAAAGTAGGACAGTCCTAGCAGGGAACAGCTACTGTTCATCTGTGCAATAAAACCCATGCAGTGTAAGTCACAATTGTAAAGTTAATGGAGTTTTAGTGAACTGCAGCTCCCCAGGGAGACTATCCAGCATATAAGAAGCCATGCCTGGCTTTCTTACTCTCTTCCTTCCTTATCCACATAGGCTAGACTGTGACAGTCCTTCACATAAGCCTCCCTACCCCTCCTCTGTGGCCTATGCAAGGGGCTGTCACAATGCAGTCAGTGAGGTTAGGGGAGATTAGAGACTACTCTCGGTGTGACCCAGAAAGGGGGTAGGAAGACATAAAGACCCCAAAGGGCTGGGGAAGAGCAGGGAGGAGTCAAGGACGTGGTTCGTCGTCCTCTCCAAATAGCTTTCAATGAATGATTTGCACGGTGCAGTTCTAAGATATTCTGAGCCATTCGCTAAGAAGCCAACGATGGGTATGAAATTCACAAAATAACAATATTACCTTTCCCTGGCTGCAAGGCCTCTGTATTCCCTACTTGTGAGTGAATGAGAAGGCTCTGGTGGGAGATCTTAAAGCTATTCACTGTGACTTCGCTGCTGGATTATTGCTGATTCCTGTGGATATGATTATTAACTGTTGAAAGTGGGGATGACAGAAGAGGTCTATTTTATGACTGTATTGTATGTATTGGGCTTACTCTGTATCCAAAGTCCCTAGTATGCCAGTAGCGTGCTTGGGGTACTGTGTCTCGGAGACATGTTCTGTAGGTGCTTCAGCAGCTAGGCCTTGTTGGCGCTAGCCCTCGGGGTCCCAGTAACCACTCAGACACATGGCTGAGGGAAAGGTTTTTACTAGGGCTGGCAGGAATGGAGAAAGGTTGCAAATACCCTAGATATAGAGACTTGAACAGTTACAGTTCAAAGTGAGCAATAACGGATCCAGTTTGGGGCAGTCCAATAGAAAGTCAGGGCTCTTCAGGCCTGGTGCATGGATGGCCCTCTCCAGTCCAGTCTCTATTCAGGCAAATAAGTATTTGTGGGTTTCCAAGCAGGCTCACTTAGTGTCTCTCACTAGGTCCCCTCTCTAGGGTTTCCACCTTTGTAATGGCACAGGACCCCCCAGGACCACACTCCTGCCCACCTCTTCCCCCAAATGCCCCGTCCTTGCTCCACCCTTTTGCACCAACACCCTGCCCCTGCTCCGCCTCTTCTCTCAAGGCCTCAACCCTGTTCCAACTCTTCTCCTGAGGCTCCACCCCCTTCTCCAGCTATTCCCCCCCAAGGCTCCACCCCTGCATCCCACATGCCACTGCAAGCCACATGAACAGCCTGGCATTTGAGGCAGCAGTGGCTGCTGTGTTATTTCCTTCCTTCCGCTTAGGGTTGCTACAGATAAAAAAAACAGGACATCAGGGCCTGTTAAATGGCACCTGGACATACAAGTTGAAACCCGGATTGTCTAGGTGAAAACTGGACAGATGGCAACCCTACTCTGCACTGGTTTCTTCCTCAGTCACTGCTCCTCCCCCATAAGTCCCACACAGATCTGTATTCAGATGTGATGAGAAGCAGTTATAGCCTGTTCCACATGCAGCTCTGTCCACCGTTCCTGGGACTTCTCCCCAGCTCCCTGCTGCCATCATATGCTTCCCATTCCCAGGCAGAGCCTATTTCTGCTTATCTGGTCTGAGGAAGTGCAATGGGGAGGGGACTGATGGGAGTTGTAGTCCCCTCTGTAGCAGATCCACCTCAATATTTAAAATTACCAAAGGGTGTCTAGAGAAAGGGATAGATGCTGCTTTAGATATATACTGTATATCTAAATAAAACACTTTTCCCCCCAGATGATAGCACTGAGAAGATGACACTGGTGGCTCTCAAAACCTTCATTTGATTAAAACAAAATTTGATCAGAGATTATATATCAGTTCCACTATGTCTTTCAAGATACTGGGAAAAGACATCACCAAACATCAGCAAACCCGTATTGCTTAGAAATTACACAAGATCAGTAATTAGCCAGTAACTGTGCAATGATGTTTTCCTTTTCTTGGGCAATACTAATGTTGGAGTTTAGTACACAATGTTTTGCATAGGTAAGCCAATGCTCTCTAGAAGGCATCTTCATACTATAATTTATGCTGTTTGCCATGCCAGACTGCTGATCACTTCTTCAACTTTTCTAAATGTTATCAGAACATCTAACTTCTCTTCAGCTGTAGGGTCATGCTAAATTACCAATTTAGTACAGCTGCTATGATGTTGACAGTTGTAATTTGTTCCACTTGATTGGTTAGTAGGCCTATTGTTTGTTCAAAGTAGATTTTCAGGTTGTGAAATAGATTCTGTATTTGCTGAACACAATGTAATTTGTACTCATATTACAGCTTCAGAGACTTCCTTGGGGACAAGACTAATTGAAGTTGCTTGATTTTTGTTACCAATTCACAGTCTTTTCAAATTCTATTTCTTTTCATCTCAAAACACCTAAGCTCCTGCTGTATTAACAGACCTACTCAGGTGTAACATTTTCGCCTGGTTTGGTGACCTGACCTCATCTCTTCTCTTCTGCCAACTAACATCTGATTACCACCTCATAAATTGTGTGAGAATTTGTTTTTTCCTTCTAAAAATTATTATTTTGAAACTAATCCACAAATTTAGAGTCGGATTATCATGCCCTAATAAATTGAGTAGCATCTTACACCATTGGCTTCAGTTGGACTTCTTATAAAGTAAGGTATTAATCATTGTAAGAGAATGAACCAGAATCTGTCTCTTAATCATATAATATTAATTTCAAGGGCTAAAATTTCAGAAGTGCTTGGGCAAGTGACTTTGCTTGAGCATTGTGTAAAAACTGCAAATGCAATTCTCCCTAGGAAAAAAATGGATTTATTGTTAGTTGTGATAATCACGGAGTAGGTTATGAATAGAATAATATATGTGCATATGCATTTTGCATCATCTTTAATGGCACTTGTTAAAAGGAGACAAAGGGTACAGTTGGAAATTTTCACAGAAGCATATTCTGCATAGTATAAAAGGCCCAGATATAATAAGAGTGCTGAGTCTAATTCTAGGAAAACAAAACCAAACAAAAATGCATCCGATGGATTACTGTGGGGGTTTACTAACTTCTTTGATTTTAGCAATATTTTACACTCCCATGTCTTAGATACCCCCAAAAAACAAACAAAAAAACCTGATATACTCATCCTCCCATAGAGCTGGTGTTTTTTGTTTTAACAATTTTTTTGTTTTGTTGAAAAATGCCAATACATCAAAACCCAAACTGTTTGTGAAACAGGATCAGGTTCACCAGATTTCCTGACTCAATATATTTAGAACAAAACATTGTCAAAAGACTTCATTTGAACATTTTCTGTTGAAAACGTGGGTTTTTGTTTTGTTTTGTTTTGTTCTTTTTCCTGGTTGAAGTGACTTTTCAGTTAGAAATTTAAGTTAAGTAGATTGAAAAAAGTTAAAAATGTCAAAATTGAAACAAAATGATTCAAAATCATCAAATGAAATGTTTCAGTTGACACAAAATGAAAAAAAAGTTGCATTTTTTGGTTCACAAATATTTTCACAATTTCTGTTCTTCATCCAACATGGGAAAAAATGTTGAACTCTCAAGATATTCACAGGATGGGAAAATTGTTTCCTGCCCATCTCTCATCCCCCCACTACTAGGTCTTTTTCTATTTCCTTCTGGACATGACTACAGCTTGTACTGCAGTACAGGTGAAGTATTACTCATTATGTTAGATTTCACTCTGCATTCATAGCAGAATGAAATTCCTCCTTATTTCAGAGTGACTAGCTAGTCATACAAACCCCTCTTCCTAGCTAATATCTCTATTCCAATTCATGTGTTGGCTTCCTCCTATGGCTTTTCCGTCAACACACAGCGATGATCAGACACTTCACTTATCACCACTGTACCTCTTCTGTCTGGCATTTAAATGCTTTATTTTAAAAAATGAATGTCTGAGGATTAATATTTCATTACTTATTTGGAAGGAAAAAGGGGACTGAAGGTATAAAGACCGTATAGAGTGATATAAGTGCAGGATCCTCTGGTTCACCAAGTTCACTTAAAACAGTTGGGGATGACCACTGGAGAATTTCCCCTGTGTAGGGGCAATTTATGATGCAGTAAAGCTCACTCCAAGCATAAAGGGGAGGAGAGGACATATTGGGAGTCGGAGAAGGAAGGGTTATAGCGGAGTCAGACTTCACTGGGCCTAATCCTCCACTAGTGCAGTTTCCTCAACTGGCAGAAATTGGTATAGCCCCTACTTCTGCTCTAAATTCTGTTAGAGGATATGGGGACTGCAACTGGGCCTGTGGCTTCCTCATCTCCATTACATTTAAGAAACAGTGAAGTTGGAAGCTATAGAGATTTGGGCTCAAACAAGTATAAAGGAATTGGAAGTCTGGAGAGAAAATTCACCTGACATACTGCAGATGCATAAATTGGACACTTTTTTAATTTTTAAAAGAGATTTCTTTTGGACACAGCTAATGAAATTACCTAGTACATGATTTTATTTTAAAAATTAAGCTCAGAAGCCAATGGACAGTTTTTCTAATGCTTCACATACTGAAATATTTAGAGCAGTGGTGGGCAATCTGCGGCTCTGTGCTCTGGCCCGCTGTTCCTGCTGGGCAGCACGGGCGGTGTGGCTGGCTCCGGCCGGAGGGATGGGTCCCCGGGGGCAGTCAGGGGAAAGGGAGCAGGGGAGGTTGGATAGGCGTGGGAATCCCGGAGGGGGCTGTCAGGGGGCGGGGGTGTGGATAGGGGTCAGGGCAGTCAGGGGACATGGAGCAGGGGGGGTTGGATGGGTCAGGGGTTCTGAGGGGGGCAGTCAGAGGGCAAGAAGTGGGAGGGGGCAGATGGGGGCGGAGGCCAGGCTGTCTGGGGAGGCACAGCCTTCCCTTCCCGGCCCTCCATACAGTTTCGCAACGCCAATGTGGTCATCGGAC